GTGTGTGTGTGTGTGTGTGTGTGTGTGTGTGTGTGTGTGTGTGTGTGTGTGTGACTTGTAGTGTAAAAGTTCTTTGAGTGGTCAGTAAGACTATACAGCATAGGTGCTACATAAATGCAGCTTATTTACCAAGCTACAAGGAAGTATGGAAACCTGATTGATGTGAGGCTTTGAGATTGGGGCACTAACAGAAAAGCAGAAGGGAGAACTGGAGATTATAATCTCCAGATTATAATAATAAATAATTTGTATTATTGAATACACGGCATAAATTTCCCTACCCCCGATTTTTTTAAGTATTCCATTTTGTACAGTTTTGTAWACATAAACACTCATCTCTTGTTGTACTCTGCCTCCAACCTATTTCTGAGTTGGAATTTAGAATTTATTCTTCTTGTTTTGATGTTTTATTATGTTGTTTATGTTTTATCATGTTTTATTATGTCTTTCWGCCATTATACATTGTTGATGATTGTACAGCACCTTGTGAATATATTTCTATGAAAGGTGCTTTGTAAACTTTACTTAGTTACTTACTTACTTATTTACTGGAGATGAAGATATTATAGTTTTTATTGGAAACACTAAATGGAAAGAAGAGAAACTGAGTATATCAAAGAGACAGATTGGATACCAAGTTAGAGATGGTTTGGGGATAGACAGTGGACATGTTGGACAAAAAAAATCAGCTTTGAGTGTTCTAAAATTTGTTTTATGTCTGATGTATTATTATTATTATTGTTTTTTTAAGTATGTTAAATATGGAGCTGTCAGAGAGAAGAGGATCATGGATGTAGTTAGTGTAAGAAGATGTCAAAAGGACCGGTGTTGGTGGATAGCCCTGTGGTTCTCAGACTTTTTTTGGTTATTGAACAATAACTGCCTGACTGCAACAGATTTGTTGTTTTGTGTGTGCATAAAATAGGTCCGAGATGCAACAATGCACTGCAACATTAGTTCCACCTGCTATATGTTACAGCCTGGGAAAAAGAAAAACATTAATCAACATTGTGCCCCTCCCACTGGTTAGGTCCCAGGCCCACCTAGAGATCATACCCCCCAGTTTGGGAACTATAGGGACAGGGCGAGATGGTCTGCTGTGAAGAACCCAACCTGAAGCAAACAAAAGAAGAACCTGTGGGAAGCTGGTGTCTATCTTCAGTGGTCAATGGGCAAGAAATGTGTGGTGGTGGTGGTGGTGGGGGGGTACTCTGGGCAGGGGGTTAGGTCCACATGAAGACAAACGAGACAGACAACTTTTCACACTCACACCTGAAGACAGTTTAGAATTTTCAGAGAACCTAAAAAATGTATATTTTTGTTTTGTAGAAGAAAACCAAAGTACCTACATGCATGTCTTCTGTTAGCTTAGTTTTTTTTTTTGTTTCTTATTTTGACTTTAAATTTGTACAGCACATGGGCCTCAGAGCAGCAGGTTTACATTCACAAAGCCTGGCTACGTCCTCTCCAACAAGTCAACAGGGTGCTGCAGAAACTACAGGACGTGGTGTTTCTGTTCAAACTGGACCTGTCAACTTTTAAAGGTTTCCTGTGTTTGCTGGTCAAGAGCCTCAACTGCACACGTTCAAATGATTCAATAAAAACATTTCTCAACATAAATGTTTAACCTTTAAAAGATAATCTGGCCATTTTTAAAATGAGTCATCAGCTGAGACATCAGTCAGAGAGACACAACCAGACCACAAGAAGAACTAGTCAAACCTTTTATCAGCTTCAGATAAAATCTTTCTCCAAAACGACAAACTGCTTTGACAGAACAGTGTGTTAACTGATATTAAACTTGGAACTATGGATGACATTGTTTGTTTGGGTTGTCACCAGTGTCCATGTTAGAATGTACATGTGTGCTGAGCACAGACCAGGCTGATGAGTGAAGTTCTTTGGTTGAGAAAACTGTAACAAAAAAATAAAGCATTAATATTAGCTAATGTAAATTCACACTGCTTTGTTATTTTGAAGAAAAAGTTGTTTTGTAAACCTATAAAACTACACAAATACCCTCAGTTTAAGTACCAACTACTTCAAAAAGCTGGCTTTAAAAATGACCAGACTATCCTGGTAATTAAGCAGAAGTATCAACCCTGTGAGGTATTTATAGTACTGTACATTGTTTATCTTTCTGCTTTCTTCACTGACTATACAACATGTCCCCACACATCCTTGATAAGAACTTGAGAACATACAATGTGTAAGAGAAAATACTCTCTCTGCAGCACTACTACCTGCTGTCATGTTGGACTGATGATGTACAACGAGGTATTACAGAGTCCAGGCTGGCACAAACTGAATATGTCTGTGTAAAGACCTGTCTTCTAACACAAGATTATGTCTTTAAATGTTGTATAAAGAAATATGGTATTATTTAATGATCATGACAAAAAGTACACCATTAAAAATTAGCTGGTGATCAGTGACAGCTGCATAAAACCAGATCCCAAAGCAAACAAGACGCTGAATAAAGCCTTCTGCGGCTGAATCTGCTTCTTATGGAATAAGGCAGTTCTTCCATTTGCTAAAGAAAAAAGGACAAAGGTTTGCTTTTCATGTCTTAGCCAACTGCACAGACCATGACGCATCTCTTAAAAAACGTAAATATGCATTATGTATAGCTGCAGATCCATTGCATAAAAAGTAACTGACTGAAGCAGATGTAGAACACAGCATTTCAGCATCTGTTGTTCTTAAAATAAAATAATAAAGTGTCTGACGGTCAATATGGTGGTGTCAACAAAAAACATTAAACAGCCACAGAACACAACGTGGTCTCCACAAACTACATTGACTTCACTTTAAATAAAAACCCAAATTAAAACAACCTGTTTTTAAATGTTTCTTCTACCCCTTCCTCTTTGAGTTCAAAATAAAATCCAGCATTTCAACAGAAAGTGACGATGTAAACTAAAGCCTTTAAAGAAGATGATAAAACTCATCGCAATTCATTTAAAATGGAATAAAAAGGTTGGTTTTAAGCCATGCTAGCACCATTCATCTTTCTCTACCTCCTGTACCTCAGGGCTCTATTGCCAGAGCCTGGGCTAGTGCTTCCCCCGATGCTTAAGTGGTACCCGTTGGGTACACCAGGGTCTACACCAAGAGTTGGAAGTAGTGCTCCCATGGTGCGAGGCAGTGTGGTCCGAGATGAGCATTCAGCACTGGGACTTGGGGACAGTGAAGCCGCATCCTGGAAGACATCCAACTGGTCCTGGAAGCTGCCGTAAGGACTGCTCAAGGCCTCGCCATAACCCTGGCCCAGAAATGGTTCGGAGCTGATCCGAGTAACGGGACAGGGGAAATGGTAGGAACCGCTGTGACGGAGGGCGTTGTGGTCCGACAGGCCACGACTTAGTCTGCCGGGACTCTGAAAGCCCTGGCTGGACACAAGGTGCACCGGGGAGGAATGTGCAGTCCTGTATGCCACCCCGGGCCGTGGGGTGAGTGGGGTCTGTGGGAGCTGCCGACGTCCACGGCTTGGTGTGCTAGAACTGGATCTCGGTGCCGCTGGGCTGCCTTTAACCCAACCACTACCCTGGATGAAAATTGAACAAGCATTTTGAAATAACAGAACGATGAGCAAAATATGTAAAAACAAAACCAAAGAAAGGAAGAGACAGATCCGCCCAGTGAAGAAGAAGGAAAACCATGCACCAACATGAGATGTATGATGGACACAAAGATGACAAAACAAATAATTAAACAAAGAAGACAAACAGTAATAGAAAAGAATGACGGATGAGTCAGACAGAGTGATAAAAAGAGAAAACAGGGAAAGAAGTAAAAGGCCATGAGAGCTGCACTAAAGACAGATACATGAGAGAAATAAAAAGTTTCATTATTTTACTTTTTTAGTTAAGAGGTGACCATTTAAAAGTTCTAGTGTGTAGAATCTACTGAAGTAAACTTTACCACAAACTGAGCATCACWAAGTCAGAACTTTATACAGATTCTTTGGCAGCAAGTCCAGAGGAAAGTTGAAGTTTTGTAAATTCAATGGAAGTGGTTTGTAGACAAACAGATTACAGTCTATACTGTCCTGAATTCACTTATAAAGTATAAAGACAATAAMTCCACTCGGTAGCTAATCAGCAACAGAGCTGAGAAAAAGAAAAGTTTTGAGGTGGTGCAGATCTAAACTTGTCTGAAATGTCGTGACAAGGTTTTTTGGCTGCCGAAACAGTTGAACTGTGATCATGGATCAAGATGGTTAAACATTGTTTAGAACGTTTTGGTTTAGTTCTTTATAAATAAGTGCTACCTAGGGATGCTATGCCTGCATTAATATAGGTATCAGTCCAATAAGTAAAACTGGGCTGATATTAACATTTAAAGTTGATTTCCCACTTTTTTATCTTTGTGTTTCTGTTTCTGGAGGGGAGATGTTTGGTCCAGTGGTCATGTTAGTGACGCTGTGCAGCCAGGAATAACTGCAGCAGAGCCATGTCAGCGGTCTGGTCATTTTTTTACAGTATCGAAAAAAGACACAAGTGTGTTTGTGAATATATGTRTATGAATTGTATATAAATACCGTGTGTTTTTGTGTAATATCAGTAAATATTGGTTATTGGCCAAAACACCAATAATAATAATAATATTGGATATCGATATCGACTTAAATTTTCATATCGGTGCATTCCTAGTACCAACACTATACTATACATTTAAAATGGTTTTGTTTTGATGTSTTTTCTCATATTTCAGTCATCAGACAGAAAAATGTTATAATGATCTCATTCTTAGACTCATGTTTAATCWGACTCACCACATCAGATATCAGATTATTATTTTCAGTCAGCCATGAAACTAGGGGTTCTAACAGGTGGGCAATATGCATGTTTCACTTGTTTCTCTGCTCCAACACACCTGATTTGAATGAATGTTTCAGGCTTCTGCAGAACTTGGAAGAGGTAATTCAATGACTGAATCAGGTGTGTTGGAGCAGAGGAAAAAGTAAAACATGCAGGGCTGCRGCCCTCGAGGACCAGGATTGCCCACCCCTGGGTTATAATCTCTGCCAAGAAATCGGCACAAGCTCTAAAGCGGATTAGTAAAGCTTGGTTTTTAACTCTTGACAACATCAGACTGATGCACATTAAGTGTATCTGGTACTGGTCTGACCTGGTTGTACCCCACCCCAGGCTCCTACCTGCTTGTTGCTGTTTTCCTGCTCCTCGCTGGGGGAGGCAGCACAGCTGGCAGTGGCAGATTTTGTGGAGCAGTGGTCCCGGCTGCAGTAGCGATCACAGGAGTAGTAGCGCTGCTTGTCTGCAGAGGAGTGATGATGTTTCCTCTCATGGGAGCGTCCTCGGTGGTGGACTTGGTCTTTGGAAGCTGCCGGTTCAGATCCCGCCTCATCTGCTGCACCTGCAAGAAAATGTGTGACAAWCAGAGCTTTGCATCTTTTAAGTAGGATTTCATAGATTCTTACTTTGAGTGGTAGGAAACATTGACAAAATTATTTTCTATTATTTTTACCATCAAAAATAATGCGTTGTTCATAACTTTACTTTCATTATGACTTAACAGATTAGATAGAAAGGGTAAAAAAACAACTCCTGAATTACATTTAATAACGTTGTGTAATAAAACACCTTTGGAAACGTGCCAAAACATTCTTTTATTTGAATCTCATAAACCTGCAACACTTTAGTCAATGATTCTCAAACCAGTCGGGACATTATTCAGATTTTATTCCTCTGACAGATGATGTTCAGGAGGGAGCAGAGCTACAATGTAGAGTTTTTAGTGTTTGATCGGATCTTCAGTCCAAGTGATCTACTCTGGAGTCAAGAGCTATGTGTTAAAACCAAACAGAATCTTTGAGTTCAGATGCCTGGAGCCTCCTGTTTACCATCTGAATAATCAGTTCTGCCCTGTGTAGCATTGGTGATGAAGAGGAGGACACAGTGTTGGTTTGATTCTACACTAACCAGTCAAACTGGGAGGATGCCCACCCGGAAGGGCATCCAAAGGCCTCTKCCTCTTCTCTCTGTCCCGCTCTCTGTCTCTGCGATGGTGACAGCGGTGGTGGGGGTGGTGATGGTGGTGGCTTCGCTCCTGGCGAGGTTTCTCCAGCGTGTAGTCCCTCAGGTTGACCTCCTGAGGGCGCTGTGGAGCCACAGTGGAGGCTGAGCGCGTCATRAGGCTGGTATCAGTGGCAGACTGAAACAGACATGTACAGGATCTGTCACGTGCTGGTTCTGTGTACCTCCAACCTTTAATACAGGACTACATACAAACTACATACAGGACCTGTGAGGAGTCTTCACTCTCCTAGATTTTTTTAACCCCTGTCAATCTGTTATGGTCAATAAACTGGCCTTTTTTGGTGAAAGAAAAAAAACTTTTCATTGTCAAAGTGGGATATAGTTATTTTTTTAAGAAACAAAAAAGACACGTGATGTATCCGGTTTGTATTTGTACTTTGTTATAGTTACACAAAATGTCTTCTGCTGATAGGAGAGTTCTAATAGCTGACTGTAAAACACTACAGTTGTTGTAAACGTGTGACTTCAAGATCAGAAGTCCCTCCTGATGATTTTGTGCTAGTCTGTGTCTTTTGAGTTACATTTTATTGGTTCTTTGGGTTTTAGTTTCCTCTTCTCGTTCCCTTGTTTGTTTATTTCTTGTGTTTCTGTTTCCCAGTGTCTCTTGCCATCTCTCTTTCCTTCAGTCTGTGTTAAWCATTCACACCTGTTACCACTCCTAATCAGTCCAGCTGTCTCACCAGTCCCTGCTCTTTATTTTCAGTCCTTTGTCACCACCCATCAAATCAGCATTACCATTTCCTCCTGCTGAGTCCCTGGCTGTGTCTCGTCTTTTGTTGTAAGTTTTGATGTCATGTCTGCCTTTGTTTTTTCCTTAGATTTAACCTCTTGAGTCCCATGCTTGAGCCCCGTTTTCTATTTTATTTTTTAACTTCAAATCTGTCAGTTGAATCTGGACGTGTTTGGTATCAAAATAAAGGAAAAATCTTGGCTAAAAGCTCATGGAAACTATTTTTACATTCACCAAACACAGTTCAAACAACAAGCAGTTGAATAAGAAAGTAAACAAACTGTACAAAATGGCATCATTGCAAATCTGTAAATACATTAAAGCAAATATGTAAAGGAACAATTTTTGTCGTTATTTTTTTTAAGCAAGTCAAAGTAGATACTTAAATATGTTGTAAAGTGGGTTGAAAGTTTTTTTCACTTGATTATGAGTGAATCTGGTCCAAGGTCCAACCGAGGTCAAATATAATTTCTCATTATCTGTCTGTCTGTCTGTTTTCTGCCGCWTATCTGGGGTGAAGTCGCGGGGGCAGCAGCCTAAGCAGAGAGACCCAGRCTTCCCTCTCTCCAGCCACTTGGGCCAGCTCSTCTGGGGGAATCCCAAGGTGTTCCCAGGCCAGCTGAGAAACAWAGTCCCTCCAACATGTCCTGGGTCTTCCTCTGKGCCTCCTCCCAGTGGGACATGCCTGGAACACCTCACCAAGGAGGTGTCCGAGCCACCTCAACTGGCTCCTCTCGACGTGGAGGAGCAGCGGCTCTACTCTGGGTCCCTCCCGGATGACTGAGCTTCTCACCCTATCTCTAAGGGAGAGCCCAGACATCCTGTGAAGGAAACTCATTTGGGCCACTTGTATCCGTGATCTCGTTCTTTCGATCACTACCCAAAGTTCATGACCATAGATGAGGGTAGGAACGTAGACCGACTGGTACGTTGAGAGCCTCGCCTTCTGGCTCAGCTCCCGCTTCACCACGACAGACCGGTACAGCGCCAGCATCACTGCAGACGCAGCACCAATCCGCCTGTCGATCTCCCGCTCCATTCTTCCTTCATTTGTGAACAAGACCCTGAGATACTTAAACTCCTCCACTTGGGGCAGTACCTCCTCCCTGACCCGGAGGCGGCACACTAYTGTTTTCTGGCTCAAGACCATGGTCTCGGATTTGGAGGCACTGATCCTCATCCCGGCCGCTTCACACTCAGCTGCAAACCGCTCCAGTGAGAGCTGGAGATCACGATCTGATGAAGCCAATAGGACCACATCATCCACAAAAAGCAGAGATGTAATCCTAAGATCACCAAAAAGGATCTCCTCAAGGCCTTGGCTGCGCCTAGAAATTCTGTCTGTAAAAGTTATGAACAGAATCGGTGACAAAGGGCAACCTTGGCGGAGTCCAACTCTCACCGGAAACGAGTCCGACTTACTACCAGCAATGCGGACCAAGCTCTGGCACCAGTCGTACAGGGACCTAACAGCCCGTATCAATGGGCCTGGTACTCCATACTCCCGGAGTACTCCCCACAGGAGTCCCAGAGGGACAGGGTCGAACGCCTTCTCCAAGTCTACAAAAYAYATGTAGAYTGGTTGGGCGAACTCCCATGCACCCTCCAGGAACCTGCTGAAGGTGAAGAGCTGGTCCACTGTTCCACGACCAGCACGAAAACCACACTGCTCTTCCTGAATCTGAGATTCGACTATCCAACGGACCCTCCTCTCCAGAACCCCCAAATAGACCTTACCAGGGAGGCTCAGAAGTGTGATTTCCTTATAGTTGGAACCATAAATAGTGTTGGTGGACCAGAATCGCCTCCAAACCAATACGGAAGTCTTTTTTCATGGCCTCTCCGAACTCCTCCCACGCCCGAGTTTTTGAGTGTCCTGTTGGGTAGAAAGGCGCTATACAAGTACAGTCCATTTACCATTTACCATTTAAGTATGCCCAATCCTGCTCGGCGCCTCTCAGAATGGRCAACTCCAGAGTGGAAGAGTGTCTCCCAAGGAGACTGGTTCCAGAGCCAGAGCAATGCGTCAAGGTGAGTCCAACTATATCTAGTCGGAACCTCTCAACCTCACACACCAGCTCAGGCTCCTTCCCCACCAGAGAGGTGACATTCCACATCCCTAGAGCCAGCTTCTATAGCCGAGGATCAGACCGCCAAGGTCCTCGCCCTCGACCACTGCCCAAAACACATTGCATCCAACCCTTACAGCCCCTCCCACAKGTGGTGAGCCCATGGGAAGGGGGACCCATGTCTCCTCTTCGGGCTGTGCCCRACCGGGCTCCATGGGCAAAAGCCCGGCCACCTGGCGCTCACCAACGTGCCCCACCTCCAGGCCTGGCTCCAGAGTGGGGCCCCGGTGACCCGCGTCTGGGCAAGGGAACAGTGAATCCATGCATTGTATTCATCATAGGGGTCTTTGGGCTGCTCTTTGYCTGATCCCTCACCTAGGACCTGTTCACCTTGGGTGACCCTACTGGGGGCATGAAGCCCCCAACAACATAGCTCCTAGGATCACTGGGACACAAACCTCTCCACCACGATAAGGTGGCAGACCATTATTTTATATAATATATATGGTGACAAATAAATGTTTGGATCATTTTTCAAAAGAACAAACATTCAATAACAAGTCTTTTCAGGCAGGTAAGAAAAAAATAAATAACTTTTGGATGTAAAAACTTAACATTTCTTAACATGTATTAATGGTACAATCATGGTCTGTTCTGTGCAGAATGACAAAACACTAAATTATTTCTTTACTAAAACCTCTGTAACTTTGTGCTAATTAATTTTAGCAGCATGAAACTTTGCACAAGTAATGTCCACAAGTGGATTTATGGTTTCCAAGAGTTTTTAGGCTACTTCATTATGGTTTTAAATGGGTTAAATACTGTCTAATTATAAAATGGTTCAGGTGAGAGTAAAAAAAAAGTTCCATCCTCAATATCTCTAAAACCACATTAGCTGTTACATTCTGATGAAATCTCCCAAGTGTTAGCTTTATTTTGAGAGTTTATAAAAGCTGAGATATACTCATTTACATTTCAGCATGGTATTTTGAGCAAAAACCTCAACAAAACCCCTTGGGGCTTAAGAATAAACTGTTTACTCCTCATTCCTGTTGTGTCTGTCTGCATCCTGGGTCCTACTGCCACCAAACCTGATAGAATGTTAATCTCAAGCATAGACCACTGCAGCTGAGGTCTTCCCATCTCCCCTTTTGGTGGAGGAGGAGAGGTTGGTTCTCTACCGGGGCACTCTACCCTTTTTCATTGTGCAGGCTTTTGGCTCCGGGTCCGATGCATCATTGTTTTCTGTTGTCATTTGTGTTTACTGCACTCCAATCTGCCCATTTTGTTTTTGTGTGGTGTGACACCCACCGTTCGCCCCCTCAAACCGCCGTACAATAGCCCATTTTGTGTGCTCGAAAGGGTTGTGAAAGGTTTTATTTTGGATATGGCTGGGTGTAAAAAGCTGGTTACTATAGACCATCTCAAACCAGTACATCTTGGCTGACAAAGTGGTTTTTCCGTCTAAGGTTCCTAAATGTGGTCATCCTCCTACACAGCCCCAAGTGGTATGACCAAAATTTTATATCACAGTATTTTTTTAACAATTATCTGGTATTACTTAACAGTATTTTTCACATCACAAGTCAGGCTGATATTAAAATGTCCAAACTTTGCTTCAGCAAACTGCAGTCAGCTGAAGTTACTCTGCAACACAGAAATTACTTCTTGACTTTTTTCTTTAACTGTACCTTTATCTATGTCACATTTCTCTCCTCTGTCTTTTCTTCTAGTTAGAAACATTAGTCACTTATTTTTCATTATGTCACGTTAGCAGTGAGGGGAGGCAGGCACAGTCATGAATGAGGAGGGTTGAGCAAATATTTATTTGCATGTCAATAAAGAGTTGTTTTCTACATTCAGCAACAGTGAAAATGAGAATATTTTGCTTTTTGGCAGCTAATGTCAACAATAAAATGAGAAGACTTTTCCCACAATGACTCTAGCTTGCTTTGTGTGTCGCTAGTTCCTGTGTGTTCAGCAGTGCTGCATGGAAAAATGTCCCTCATGAAACCATTTAGTGGTGGGTGTGGCATAACGTACTGAACATGTTCAGACTATTTAAAATTATATACTGGTAATTCAAATCATAACAGAAATAAGAAATTGATTTCGGTACAAACTGGTATACCGACCAGCTCTAGTATATACAACTGACTCTTCACCAGCCTGAGCTTAATGAATGAGTGACGTAAGCCTAGTTAGCCACTGTTTAAGAAATTGTGTTAAGTTTCTGAACAATCTAGATAAACCTCAGTTGAGAATGAATTATTTTTTAACCACAACTGATTTATGACAGCTAAATAATTAAAAATATCAAAAGAGTTTAAATATTTTATTAGGCATTGTAGGTATTTTTTGTGTTACAACCTAGAATTKATTTAGTTTAGATTTGTAATTTGATTTATAGAAACAATTCTCAAAATTGAGTCCACAGGACCTTTAAGCATGAGACAGCATGTAGACCAAGGAACTGTCCACACAGGTCAGAGACAAAGTGGTGGACAATTACAGATTAGGGTTATGTTGAAAACCAATCCTGCACTCTGATCGTTCTACAAAGCACTTTGCCCCGGCTCAGTGCTATCATTATTACAAGGTGAAGAGATGATGTCACCACAGCMAACCTGCTGACAGGGTCATGCACCAAAACTCAGAGTTTGTAAGGAGGACTGAGTCAGGAGGACTGACACAGGTGAATGGAAGTCATTTTGTTTCTAATTTAATTAAAAATCCACAAAAATAGAAATTAAAAAGAGGTACTAATGATTTTACAAAGCTCTGAACAAATATCCCACAATATGACTCAGTGTGAGGATAAGATCTGTTGCACTGCAGCACCAGGAGTACCTGGGGGGCCTGCTAATGTAATACTGACTGAAGTACACTTTAATAGAATACTGAAGGCTAGAGGGCCAGGAGATGATGATGATGATGATGATGAGACAGACCCCTGTCAGAAAAAGTGGAAGCACAAACAGGATGTAGTGTTTGATGAGTGGCAGACTGTACGTACCATCAGAAGAGAGCCTGGAGCAAAGTGGGACGGGTTCTGTTGAGACACAGCAGATCGGAATCAGAAACAGGGTTTAATCAACACTAATACAAACCTTATCCGGGAATTTCCATTTACAAGAATTTACAGGTCTAAAACTTAAGATTTTAAATAAAGCTTCAAAATTCAAACAGAACAAAGTATTTTTACTTCTTTCATTGGTTTCAGTTTGATTGAAATACAGTATTAAGATAATAACTGACACACACCGCTCCAGAGGTGAATGCTGACACACTATGTGTCACACAGAGATATACTGAGTTTACACATTAAAGTATGAAATTGTATGAAGTCAGGTGGCCCACTAGATGGCCCAGAACTTGAACCCACCTGGGTTTTTTGGACCAGTGTTTAACTGTATAGTTCAAGGATGAATGTTGGCTTCTCCTTGGAAAATCCATCCATCCATTATCTACACTGCCTGACCAAAAATAAAAGTCACCACCAAAAATAAAGGTCACACACACTAATATTTAGTTGGACCACCTTTAGCTTTGATTACAGTACACATTCTTTGTGTCATTGTTGGATAAGCTTCTACAATATCACCAGATTTATTTCCATCCAGTGTTGCATTAATGTTTCACCAAGATCTCACATTGATGATGGTAGAGTCTGACCACATCCCAAAGATTCTCAACAAACTCTGTGGAGCCAATCCATGTGTGAAAATGATGTCTCATGCTCCCTGAACCACTCTTTCACAATAAGAGCCCCATGAATCCTGGCATTGTCATCTTGGAATATGTCCGTGCCATCAGGGAAGAAACARTCATTGATGGAATAACCTGGTCATTCAGTATATTCAGGTAGTCAGCTGACCTCATTCTTTGAACACAGACTGTTGCTGAACCACCTGCAACAACCACACATCATAGACCTTAGTTACACCCAGTTGGACACTAGTTTTTGGCCAGGCAGCGAATGTCCGCTTCTTCCTTTCAAGGTCACTGGTGCCTACATCCAGCAGTCACTGACAGGTTGCAAGTCCTTTACAGGTACACATAAAGACAAATGCGACAAACAACCACCCACTCTCTCACTCTCACAACTAGGGAAATTTTAGGGTTACCCATTAACCCCCCCAAAAAATAAATAAAAACACTCATGCACAAAGAGAACATGCAAACTCTACCCAGAAAGGTCTCCAGACCAGGGYTGGATCCAGCAACCTTCTTGCTGAGAGTGAACAGCTCTACCAACAGAGCCACTGTGGCCCCCTTGGAACATTTGCTCTTTATTCAATACTCAATGTGTTCATCTTTTAATAACATTGAATATAAACTAACCCAACAGGGTAAAACTGCATCATCAAATCAGTCCAGTACTGGTTCTTCTGCACAGAGCATTATTCTCATGTAGTTTCACTGGTAATTTTCTCCATGTTTTTGCCAAAAGGTTGTTGCAGTGCAGGTAAAAACTAYTCTGTGTAATCCTCTGCACTCTAAATCTTGCAGATACATGTCAGCCACAGCTCCCTTCATCTTTTTAACAAAACTTGTTAACAGACAAACGGCCAGTGAGTGCATGTTTCACTCATTAAACTGGGGCTCTGCACATATTGGATTAGAAGATAAACCAGGATTGGATGTTGCATCTGAATGCAGGCAGATATGGAGTCASAGCTTTCACAAGTCACTGCAGCATCATAGAAGACCCTAAAGAACAGAACAGATCTGATTTTATCTTCTTGTTTGGATTAAACCTCAGCCTACATTCAGTAGGAATAAAGAAATCTGAAAGACGAAAAGCAACGTTAAAACTGAGGCTGGATGCCCCACAGAGCTGACTGCATCCTACAATCCTCTCCTCACACCAGCAGCAGCAGGACATTTCCAAAGGCCAACAGTAATTGAACTGGATGTCCTGCCCTCTTTAAAAAGGGTAAAAAATGAGATAAAGTCAAACTTATGGCCATCTTTCATTACCCCCCACTTCAGATTCTGTCTTTTTCACAGTAACCCAATTACCATCTTCCTCCCAATCTCCAGCCCAGAGCCATTTAGAGCCACTGTAAGAAAATTTGTATTCAATAAACTAAAGTCGAGATTATAAACACAATTGTTAAATAAAGGGATTTTTAGAAGGAATGAAACCATCCAACACCAGAAATCTGGAATCTGAGTGAGGTTTATTGTCGCTGAAGCAGACAGGAAACCCACACTGGCCGAAAAACAGGAAGTTCATCTATTTATACAGTTTTCTTCAATGCCTTCGCTCGCCCACTGCTGACCTACAGCTGGATCACAGGCATTCAGACAAAATCCTCAGCTAATGTCATTCAAACGTTTAATTGTGTGTTTTAAAAGATGTTTCAGACATGTAACTATACCTATTTCAGTCAAAACATAAAAGATTAAACACTGTCAACATTACAAAAAGGAGAACTTAAGAATATAGTGTTGTGCTTTTAACATCAGTACTAATCTCTTCTAACTCTAAATTTCTTCACACCACTGTCATTGTTTCAGTTGGAAGAGCCCTAGACAAACAGCTGGCTGCCAGCCAGAGAGGAATCTCATTACTTTAGACATTTCTACTGCAGTGAAAGCATGATCAACAGCAGCTTCTCAAAGCACCGACAGAAGAATACACTATAAACATCAACAACTTTCAGGGAAGGATGATGATGACGACGACGACGGTGACGACGACAATGATGATGATGCCTTTATTGTCATTGTACAGAGCACAATGACATTACATTTAAGAACACGCATTCAAGAAGACACACATGACAAACATGGGGGAACAGGTGATCAGGTCATGCAGCAACCAGCAGGGATCGCACAACCTTTAAAAAAAAAAAAAAAAAAAAAAAAAACCAGAAGGTTCAATGAGGGAAAAGAAGATGAGAAGATGAGGAATGACTTGTTTCCTACATTTCTATGGTTTCACATCCAGGTGTCTCTGTGATGGACTGAAACCTGTCCAGGTGTCTCTGTGATGGATAGTTTGGAGATGGTACTAGTGATTACTCAAAAATAATTCTGCAACTTGGTTTTACAGAACACCAGCTTGAAGTTGCTCTATCCAGATCAGTCAAACGTGGCAAGCTGATTCTTGAAGCAGACACCTACCGACCACTGTAGAAGGGCCCATGTTCAGGTGCCTGACTGGCAGCACCGGAGCGTATCACAAGCTCAAACTAAACATTAATGACAACAGTAAAATGAACAGTTTGACAATGGCAGTGAGGGTTTGGCATATTTTTCAAGTCAAAGTTGATTTATTGTCAAATCTGTATAATGTACAGGACATACACAGGACTGAAATGACATCAGTCGCTCAGACTCCTGGTGCAATGAACATCAGAGAAAAAAAACATCAAAAGTAGACAGTTGGTAAAACATTAAGCATAAAAATAGATATATTACTAAATTTTATGCATTCAGTCTACATACTCAGCTCTACTGCTCATCACACAAATGCATGTTCCTTACAAATGTGGCACTATTTAAAATGGAATTGATGCTTTTCAAAGGGGTAAGATTTATTACCAAGAAGCATCGTTACAACAGAAATAATCTACCAAACACACATTTTCATTGTGTTCCAGTTGTCTTCGGAGGTCATAGTTTTGCACTCCCGAGTTGTAATTTTCAACTGGAATGCCCCCTGATGTCGTAGTTTTGAGTCGAGAGGACGGTGCAACACAACCATGCCCGAGCAGCCTGAGCACGCGTTACGTCATCATTTCAACAAGGCTGCTCCTTGCATCAACAGAGTTTTCTCTTTACTTTTATGCTTTTTTTTAGCAGTTCTGTTTAGTTTACTTTACATTAAGTTTGTTATACTTGTGTGACTGTATAGTGATTATTACCTCCGCCAAGGGAGGAGGTAATATTTTCGGTCACGTATGTCTGTCCGTACGGAAGAGTATTGCATTCACCAAATAAAAAAAATTAGGACTCCTGATCTCATAAATACGAGATCAGGATCTCACACAAACCTAACACCATCATTTAGCTTGTAGTGGTGCTTCCGGTTTCAGCAAATGGATATTTCAAAATAAGAGTCCGATTCAATACAGTCCAAACAAAACATCACAGAGATGGTATGATGCTGTATGGATGATAGTATGCCGACATTATGCAGGTATCTTCCTTGCAGTTGTCCAAGCAAAAAGCCCACTCTGACATACTGGAAGTCATTCTCTTCCTGCAGTACGGGATGCTACGGCTTTAAGTAGCTTATGCCTCTGAAATGCTTAAATTAGAGCACACACTTCCTCCTGTTTCAACCATATAACAACCTTATTTAACTCCGGTGAATTAACATTATACAGCTTGTTCTGGCCACTCGTGCGTTCAGCATTACACACACATGTCCAGGACCGTTACCTGCTCAAAATCCAGGAGATCAGGATCTTGTAATTATGACATCTTATCTCATAATTATGACATCCTGATCTATTAAGACAAGACAAGACAAGACAAGACAAGACAAGACAAGACTAGACTAGACTAGACAAGACAAGACAAGACAAGACTAGACAAGACAAGACAAGACAAGACAAGACAAGACAAGACAAGACAAGAGAGACCTTTATTGTCATCGTACATGAGAGCACAATGAAATTACAGTTCAGAACACCCATTCAGAAGAAGACAGAACATAACAAACATAGGAGAACAGGTGCTCTGGGTCATGCAGCCACAGACCCTGCACAGAGCAAGGATTATCTTCATGAAGACATCATGAGGAGGCGCCACACTTAAAAGAAAAACTAAAAACCACACAAGGGAAGATGAGGAAAAAACATCATATTATATCAACAATGTGACACACTATGGTGTTTATAAAAAACCATCTCCATAGAGCACATTTATTAGCCAGAGGATTAAGTGAGTTTAGGGGGGCATGAAGCCATGAGTGTTGTATGCACTTGTGTGAATATCTGAAAAATTAGCCCAAAGAATCGAGTCCCCAAAACCCGTGCAGCCATAGTTCAGAATATTGATGGTAACTGTTCATTCTGTGCAGCCCTCAGCTTGCTCCAGGAACCAGATCACAGACGGGTGTGGGGGGGGCAGACCCTTAGTCGACATGACCAACCAGGAAGCATTTAGTCAACAGATCAAGGCCATGTAGGAGAGCAGCCAGATTCTGTAATCAGTTGTTTTGGGAACAGAAGAGAATGTTTAGAGACAGGCAGACAATAACAATTTTCCATCTGCTTTAATGTATGCTGGTACTTCTCAGTGTGGTCAAGTCAGACAAATAATGTGGACAAATTCCGCCGAGCCGATCTATCAGCTTTCTCCAGGATCAATTCCATCTGGCCAGCAAAGTCCAGGGACCACAGCCAACCCACGATCCTCAATAGAACCGCTTGCAGAATGAGTCCAGCTCGCTCAAGGCACAATGTCCGAGTGCTGATAGTATACGGCCATCCATCAAATTGGTCAGGAAGTCAGGAAATGGACAGCCACTGACATTGTTTTGTAGAACACCAGGAGACCACCAAGCCAATCTCCCATGGAAGAAAAAACTTTGCTCCAAAAAATTTATTGAGAGACCAGCTAACCAAGTCCATAAAAATAAAAATATCCATAATTTCTGGTTTTGGATGAAATGTAGTGAAGCCTCCAAGCAGCAAAGCAGGGAAAGATAAGGAAGGGCAGGAGAGAAGGAAACGGTGTCTTACTCCTCCGAGAGCGGAACAAAAAAAATGACATCTTATCTCATAATTATGAGATCCTGATCTCAATTATGAGATAAGATGTCATAATTACGAGATCCTGTTATCCTAATTATGACATCTTAAACCCTTTTTCTGACATTCTGACAAGTTTAAAAGGAATTGAAGTGAGTCCGGCTTCAGAATTTTGAGTTCTGCTACAACTGGAACGCAGCATAAGTTGATAGGGCACTGCATACTTTAGTCTTGTGGTCTAAAGCATGAAACTCCCAGGYTAAATTAGTGTCTCTAGTCCTGAGTGATGCTGTCCCACCCAGATACTTTAAGAACTGAAGAACTATAATTTGAGCTACCTATAGAAGGGCCACACATACTTACAGGCCAGATTATTTCAGTTCTACTTTCATTTTGAATAATCTTTCTTAACGTTAGTTTTGTTTTATTAAACAACCTTTCGCATGAATATACTATCAATCAAAATGAATACAACATTAACGCATATTGGTCATTTTGACTTCACCATAGATTCTTTCCCTTCAAAAATACAATCTGCTTTAGTTTAGTCATATTACTGGACTTTTCTGACAGAACAACTGAGTAAATCCAGACAACAAGCTGTTTGTAACAGAGACTCATCAGCCCTGCTCAAACAGCCAGATGTTGAAAATAACACCTGGAATTACTCAGAAGAGACGTTGAGACGTAAGAGATGTAACCAACAACAGCTGCTGTTATTACAATGTACTGAAACAGGACTAAAAGGTTTTTGTTCCACAGCTGAGAACAAAAAGATGAGTCATTACCTGGACCTCAGCGCTGAGTCGAGGCATAGAAGTAGCTCTGCCCTGGCTCTCCAAACCTGAACCAGGAACTGGTATAGTACTGTTAACACTGGACTCCATGTTCTTCATCTCTACGGACACCTGGACACACAAACAACAAGCTCACATCATTGCTTACAGGCTGAAAACTTTGAGCAGCACCTGCAGTTACACACTCAGGCTTTAGAGGAGTCTGAGTGAAACAACATGGTCTTACAGGAAGTTCTGTAACACTGTAAGTACCTCTAAACATAAATGATAACTGGAATACATCACCTGTCAATAGTTATGGAATCACTCTGTTCTTATTATATGAAATTATAAGAAAATGTTTTTATAATTATTTTCAGCACTCCATCCTACAGAAAGAACTATAATTGTTGCAGCTGGTCACAGATGACTTTTTATAGAACTAGAGGAATAAATAATAGAATAATTTATAAGTCTGTAATTTAAAATCCTAAAATAAACTCCTGAATCAAATTAATTAACTAATTAATCCAAAGTTTTGTGGTTCATTTATTAGTTTGTACAAAAATAAACAATTCTCCTCCAAAAGTAGTGATTCCATCAGTTTTACCAGGAGTTGTAAAACACACACACCTGTGGACTTACTTTACAGCAATAGGTAAAGATAGAAAGATGTTATATCTACTACGGTATTTGTCCAACAATGTCCTTTTGGACAGACGAGATTAAAATAAAGCTGTCTGCTCACAAAGCACAGTATAAATACAGCTCATCAGCCCCTGATTTAAACACCTGGATCATTCACAGGTGGACCCAGTCCAAGTCCAGACCTGAACCATGGGACCATGTCTTTGGTAGGTACATAAAAGTACTGTGTATAAATATCAATATACTACTGGTACTTTGGAATAAAAAAATTTAACCAACTTTTTCCACATTGAGCTGATTAATAAGGTTCTAAGTTCTATAAGGTTCTGAATTAGGTGGACACAGTGTTTCTGTAGTTTCTCTGTTAGAGTATGTAATATTGTGTGGACAGACTCAGATTAACACCTCAGTACTCAGAGGTCCTCAAACCTACACACTGCAGTGATGGACCCCTCTGAGGCTGTTCACTCACAATTACAAATCTGTTACAGCTGCTTAAAGAGGCTTTGATTGCAAGTGCTCAGCCCTGACATCTCTATTGGTCATAAAAGGTTTTGTGGTCAGAGCTCAGTTACTGTATGCAGATAAACACACAGCTGTCAGCTGAGCTACAAACAGGAAAACTGACAGTGAAGCTGGGTGAAACACCTGTTGGCTTTAAGGATCTGTCGTCCCGTGAACAATTTAGTTGAACAATCCTGTATTAATGTCTCAAAATAAGATGCTTTAAAACTAACATTGATCATAAACTACAGTGGTTTGCAAAAGTATTCATACCCCTTGAACTTTTCCATATTTTGTCACATTACAACCACAAACATAAATATATTTCACTGGAATTT